AGTGATACGGGTAGATCTTGGTGGGAGTAGGCGTTCCGCCAAATATCTGACACTTGCTGATGCAGCTGGCTTCCCACTTTTTTTACCTGTCTCTCACAGGAGTCGGAACAAGGCTGGCCACGCATGCAGAATCGTCCCTTCTTCTTGATGATGGAGAGAAAGGAGAAGAGGTGGGGGCAGGTTTGCTGGAAAGACATACAGGGGAAACCCTGCTTGCCTCTATTCCCTGTTCTCCTCCCCAGGAGGCAGAATTTTGTTCTAATATGTGAACTGGGGAAGAAGTTAAGAATCAAAGCCCAAGCAAAGCATGCTGCTGATCTACCACCACATCGTGCTTTAAACACTCTCTGGATGCTTTGCAATTTTATTATGCAGGCGACACACATTGGCTGCCTCCTTCCCCCCAACCCCCTGGGCCCCCCAGCAAGGTGGGTACTCAGTTCTTCTGAACCCACTTCAGAAGGATGGAAGGCTGAGTGAACCCTGAGCAAGCTACCTGAGCCCATTGGGATCGAAATCAGGTTGTGAGCAGAGGCTTGACTGCAGTACTGCAGTCTAACCACTGTGCCATGAGGCTCCTCAAAGCATTTAAGTGTGGGAGAAACCACAATGGAAGCTGACAGGTCGGTTCATGCAGCTAGAGATGTCCAAGCTAAGTTCCTAAAAGTCTGGATTTAAACTTTTAGGAAAGCAGCTGTGTTCCTTCTGTCTAGGGGTGCCGTTTCTTCCCCTCTGCGTCCACTCCTCTTGGGGGTATACAGTGTAGGGGTGGAGCTGGGATTGGCAAGCTGGGAGGAAAAAAAATATGTTTTCATTTCTTCCCCCATCCAGAGTCCGGTGACCTTTGAGGAAGTGACGGTGGATTTCACCCAGGAGGAGTGGGCGCTGCTGGATCCGGACCAGAGGGCTTTGCACAAGGAAGTCATGGAGGAGAACTGGGGGATGGTTGTTTCTCTTGGTAAGCCCCCCCTTCCTTGTCTTCTGATAATGTCTATGTATTAATGCAATAAGAGCAAGAAATTCAATGAGTTCAAGCTGAGCCACCTTGACAGCCGCTGGGCTCCATGATCCATAGGGTCACTTCTGCAGTTTTTATTATTATTGTTGTTGTTATTATTAAGAAGGTTTTCATACTGATCACTTAACACCGGGAGGGTGGGTGTTCTTCAGTGTGTTTCATGAAGATGAGAGGGAAGAGCTAAGGCAGAAACTTATTTTTCCCCATGTTAGAGGAAAGAGTCTAGAGAAGTTACATATTAAAAATGTGATGACTTTAACTGGGAATGGGATTTATTAAATAAATAAAAGTAAACTGTTTTATTTTGAGGAGACAGCAGGGCCATTTTTTTCATTCCCCTCTCCGTTTACACACACAACATTTCCCAGACCTAAAAAAAAAATGTGGACTCCTCAGCTGGGCAGTTTTCTCTGTACATATAATTTTGTCCTCTTCACAAACTTTTTGGAGACCAGATGAGTCCTGGGGATGGATGGACATTTCTGTGGATACTCACACACTGTGGCTTCAGGGAGCATCTGTTTCTTCGGCTATTTTTCAGACCAATTTTTCTACAGGGACCAGGGCCAAAAACAGAATTTTGAGGATTTAGGTTGTTTCCGTAACTCCTTCTCTTGGTTTTATCTTTGTCACACGTAAGGCCCAGGCAGATTTTTGAGTAAGCTCCCGTGTATCCTATAGATCTGCGTCCATGGCTCTTCTGGGCATTCTAAAATATTGCAAGCTTCCCGTCTCTTCCAGGGATTACATGAGTTTTGCTTTTTAACAACAAGTTTGGAAACGTAGACATACATGGCAGGAAAAAAAAACAAGGTTACAAGTGAGAGTGAGAGAGAGGGGGGGAGAGAGAGAAAGAAAAAAGAAGGAAAGAAAGAAAGAAGGAAAGACAATTAGAGGAGTGAAAAGATCATGTAGATCATGGAAGGGGAAACCTCTGGATATTTTTTACTACCCCCTACCAGAATAAGGACAGTGTTCTGGTGTCTATCTGTCCTTGCCTAAACTTCAGGATTGTGAACCCTACAACTTTCGCACTTGTCCTGCAACCTAGGTAACATAGAGGCTATCCTTGGTTATTTGAAGGATGGTTGGTTCATTTTAATGAGCTACAATCTGTCTG